GAAGAAAAAGATAAAAATGCGAACCCATTTACACATATTGGAATACCACCACTATATAAATTGTGGCAACTGTGATGTAAAGGGATGAAAAGTGCTGTAAAAGTTTAATATGAATCAGCATATTGTGGTCAGTAGTTTCTGCAAGCCATATCAACTTGTACATTAAATTATTATTCAAAGTCGCTGTTTCCATGAAAAGAGCTGAGAATCTCAAACAGCATCAGTCAAAAGGCAGAAATGTGGTTCCCACAGCAGTTCATATCCATTGAGTAAGCAAATTCAGCCAACAAGACCAGAAGTGGCATAACAGCTTCCCATGCTTCCCATGCTAAAAAGAAAATTTCATCTGAATGAGAGACAATGAATCAATTCCCGAATCCATGTTAACAATGCTAAGAGAGGATTCTCCATTGCTGGCTATAGTACTCATGCAGCCCTGGCACCCGCAGCTAGATACAAAGAAAACAAACAGAGGGAGCACCGGCCTAGTGCATTACCTTAAAACACATTTTTATTGATATAAAAAGGATAAGTATTATACTCACAAAGGACGAGTACGTCAAGAGCTCATCATTAAAAGAACAGCACTGTCCAGTCCACATAGCATTGCTTCTCACAATAGGAACCCTGGAACAGCCGTGGCACCCGCAACTACCTGAATACAATGTTGCTGCTGAACAGTGACTGCATTTGATAGGATGCAGTCACTCTTCGGCTGATAATTTTCCACCCGGCTTAGTCCCTCTTTAAGTCATCTTTTGTCCAGCAGGGTGGTGCTGCAGGGTTCACATTCTGACCCAAATGTGAGTCAGAATATGAACCCTCAAATATGGTCATGCCTAAGCTGGTCATAGATGTATGATTTTTCTTCCATTCAGCCAGCAGGCTGAATGAAAAATAAATGGATTCTTCCCTCCACACAAGTGAGGTGGAAGGAGGAATTGTATCCTCCAACTCTTGACAAATGTTCTTCAACATTCCCGTTCACCAGACGTTCATCTTACAGTCAACTTCTGCTGAACAGGGACATCCACACATGGATTGAAATTTGGCTGATCCCTGCTGAAATGGCTGAATTTTGAACCATCTAGGCCAGCTTAAGTCTTTATATCAGAAGAAGGTCAAAGATGACATTATTCTTAATTTTTTCAGTACCTTTTAGAAAACTAAACAATCATACATATTATAAGTGTGCATACTCCTTGTACTGGAAGCATCATTTCTATATTATTTGCCTCCCTTCCATATTTGTTTTATGTCAATGCATTAGATCCAGTTAAAAATTAAAACACTGAAAACTAAATACTTAACAAATGCTTCAAAATGCATGTCAGAAGCGAAACACAAATGTCTATGTACACTGAACCTTATGTATGTATGATATTATTATACTACCAAAGGGTCGATGCACTGACTACAGCCCAGGGCCCAAGGTGCAATGAATCCACCACTGTCGAGTTCAGACAAACCCAGTTCATTCCTAATGACAACAATGATCTTTTTACCACAAACATAAGCAGCATTCCTCCAAGTGACCATCACACTAATATATATTAATTTGCAAGGGTTCCCCATAGACTAGAATGTTATTTCAAGGGTTTCTGAATGTTAAAAGGGTTGAGGAAGATTGGTCTAGAGCAGTGGTTCTCAACCTGTGGGTCGCGATCCCTTTGGGGGTCGAACGACCCTTTCACAGGGGTCCCCTAAGACCATCAGAAAACACATATTTCCGATGTGTAAAGAGCAGCTACTGTGTAGAAAGCAGCTGCTGTGTTGAAAGCAGCTACTCTGTTAAAAGCAGCTACTGTGTTGAAAGCAGCAGTATTGGAGATAAAAGGACACTCATGAATTATGATTACTGGGTAAATAATTTTATGGCTGGGGGTCACCACAACATGAGGAACTGTATTAAAAGGTCACGGCATTAGGAAGGTTGAGAACCACTGGTCTAGAGAATAAGGAACTAATATGACTAACCATTATCCAGTTTTTTATATCTATAAAATACAGCCTCTCATTACAAGCATGTGGCCTAATCAGATCCACCCATGCAATACAGACTGGAACAATGCCGATCTAATCCATCTCATACCAAGGAAAAACCCCAAATGCAAATGCATGCAAAGATGTACACTACAGGCAATCCCCAAGTAACGAACATCCAAGTTACGAATGACTTATGAATGGAGGCAACGTGGCATTACTAATGGCCTCTTGCGCTCCACGCTGGTCCCGGAAACCACCAAGCTGCCATCTTCCCGGCTACCGTACTGCACACTGCATGGTCAGAAGCACATTACGGCATGGCCACAAGCACCCCACATAAACCCACATCACTGAACACCCAGAACATTCCACATCACTGAAGAGCCAGAAGCGCCTGGAACCTGTGGATCTGGTGAGATTTATTACAGCATTGTACTCTGTGCCCACTACTGTTTGGATTATGTTCTGTATCTGTAATTTCTACAATAGCAGGACTGTGTTACTGTACATAATATCAATCTGTGTTCCAGCATGAGCTCAGGTCAGCTGCCTATGTGGAGCTCCCATTCAGTCGTGTGTGTTTTATGCCATCTCTTTTTGCACTGTTAGGGCTCATGTACACTGCAGCTGATAAACGCACATTTAGGAGTTGTTCAGCGTTTTTTTCAGCAGCCCCTGAACTCTCCCTAATGTTTTCCTATGTGTCCATGTACACAGTCATTTACAGGCAGTTGAGTTTACAGTCGTTTTTTTGAACGCGTTCAGGAGTAGATGTTATGAGCGTTTCAAACACCAAATGCTTGTAAACACAGCTAAGTGTGGCTAACCACGTTTATAAGCATTTGCGTTTGAGATTTTTTTTAAATCTTCCATTTCCAGATGCTGTCCAGAGCCTTTTTTTCATCATGAAAAATGCATGCAAAGCATTTTCCCGGTACTCAAATGGACCTGGTACACCATACTTTGAGGTTTCGCATGAAAGAAAATATGTTAGACACTGCTGCAATAATTTCTGCACAGAAATGAGCTGGAACACATCCAAACACCAACAAAAAAAGGCAACTAATCTCAATAAATACTGCTGTCTCTGCTTCTGCTCTCTCTTTTTCTCTCAAAATGTCTGAAATATTATTATTATTATTATTATAATACAGTATTTTTAAAGCGCCAATAGTACATTACAAAGAAGGACAGAACATGTGACAGAACAATACCAATACAATGCAAAACATGAGGGGATTGAGGGCCCTGCTCTTTCAAGCTTACAATCTAGGAATAGTTAATTTTTTACTGTTTTCTGGGCATTTTGGAAGGTCTCCTGAGGTTATCTTTAAAAAAACGTTTCTAAACACAAACGCTCATAAACGCGCATAAACACGGCATGCAAACACGGCTAAACAGACATTTTTTAACCTATGTTTTCCAGCAGTCAGTTTCCATCGTTCAGAAGTGTCCCGTGTACATGGGGTGATTTATAGTTGGTCAATAAATCCCTTTTTTGTGCAGTACTGTATGGTGTGGGGTTAGAGACACTGTGAGGTTTTTACTGCCGTCTGTATCCTCATTAAAAGGATTTAATCTCACTTCCCATCCCTGAGACAACAGTAAGTGAGAGGAAATCTACCCATAGGAAGGGAAATTCACTCCTGTCATTTTTTTGGCTGGAGTTACACTTAAAAAAATGTACTGTTCCAACTAACATACAAATTCAACTTAAGAACAAACCTACAGAACCTATCTTGTTTGTAACCTGCGGACTGCCTGTAACTATTGTGAAATTCCACCAGCCTCTTCATTAGACAGTTTCATGGGAGCACAGCACTGCATGTAAAGTCAGTGTACTGATAGATAACTACTACATTATAAATATACTCTTCAATGTATGTATGACACAGGAAACGGACAGCAGAGAAATAGTATATATTGCTGATTATTAATATAGTTTTCCTGTTCTACACAGAGACTATTTCTGTTTGTTCATGTCATGGACTCAAAATAGAGTTTCAGGAAAAAGACGAAAAACAGCAATGTATGTTTTCTCTTCCTTAACAGTTTTCCTATTAATGTGGAACTTCCCTGTGACTCATTTGAGTATACCCTTCAGCTTTTTCAGATACAATGATACCAGCACACCACAGTTGTTTCTAGACAGTAATTTAAATCTCTAATATATAAGCCTACAGCGTCACGGGTCAATCTGAAAATTGCATCAGGGGCTGGTTGCAGGTACTGGGGATCCCCAAGGTCTCCCAATTGTACACGGAACAATTGGAAACATAATTGCAGGAAAAATCCAGTGGTATTAAAGTGCCTGAGCAGCATCTTATACTTGGAACTCTTTCCATACTGCACATATATTAAGATACAGAATTCAGGAAAACTAAGCAAACACACGTGCGTAGTTTGATGGGAACCAGTCTTCTGACCTTTAGTGCGCCATCTTTAATTATCTACAGCTCTGTGTGTGGCCAGCAGCAGCCTGATTCAGTGCATAGACGAGATCATGTCTGCTTCTAAACCCTAATTAATGCAGATAAGCATTAGCTACAGCAATTTACAGATCAACTCTTTAGTAAGTGGTGCGTTTAACATTTCATTATCAAGTAGCTGCTTCTTTCTTCTGCCAAATAACAGAAAATGCAATATTATATCCAAGGTTTATATAATGACTAAACATTCCTGGATGGAAATGTCCACTGCCAGGCTCAGTTCCTAGGTACTCAAATATTTTGCCTATTTTCACACAATACAGCATAGTACGGGGATAGCGGTGGCTCTTCTATATCCCTAGTTACACAGTCATCTGAGTTATCAAGAAAAAACACATGGCTGGGATAAAGCTGGCCATATACTAGTAGATTTTCAAATGAACATTTGCACAAAATTTCATATGAAAACTCTCATCAGTATACTCGATGACAAGACCACTGCCATTCAAAAGTACTTTCAACAAATTAAAATGTTGCTAAACCCAGGACCCTGCATTTACTATATCTGGTCTCCCTGAACCCTGCATTCACTATATCTGGTCTCCCACAGTACACAGAACATGGAAATGCAATTATTTTAGTAAATATAAACTGCTAAATACCTTAGTTAGAGCAGTCTTGTGCAGGGGTGGGCTGACAACTCATAGGGCCCCCTGACAAAAGGGGATCATGGGGCCCCTGTGTCCTTGCCCAAACTCAAAAAAGCCTACGAAAAAGGTACCAGGGGCATCTCATGGGGCCCCCTACTGACCCTGGGTCCTCGGGCAGTGCCTGAGTTTCCAAATGGTCAGTCCGACCCTGGTCTTGTGACTTCAGCAGAGCACTGGTTAAAGCTTGTAGGAGGAGTTTTCTTTCTGCTCTATGAGGATGCAAAACCCAAGACTCTCGGTCTGGACAGCGCTGATTGGCCCTGTGCTGATCACATGCACTCTCCCAAGAAAAAAAACCTCTCTAGCAATACACACTAAACTGAGCAAGTGCATGTGCCTACGGGTTCAGTCTGTCTTATCAGGAGATAAGACATGGACATATGAACAAAAGGAGGGGCAGAGAAACAGGATCAGACGGCCTTTTTACACAATGCGGAGGATTACCCCTTAGGTTCCATATTGAGTATAACAAGCATGCTTTACTGCATATACAGACTGATTTTACTGTTGTGGGTTTAGCAATACTTTAATTTAGGAGTGACAGACTTTCCCAAATGAAAAACACATTCACTGTTAGAAATTTGAGAAAAATGTTCCTTCCCGCTCCTTAAATGTTCTCATCACTATGGTCGAAAATTAACATTGATGATTACAAAATAGAAAAAATGTTCTTAAAACAAACATTTTCAGAAGAAATTCTACTAGTGTATGGCCAGTTTAATTCTTTGTTCCAGAACATGTTTGGATTGAGACTATTATAAAAACACTCACATAAATCAGCAGCACCTTGGTGTATGTATTTTTATACTATTACTGTATATAAAATAAAATATGAGTAATATAATGCACCAGGAGGTAGCCTACCACCTGCTGACATTCTGCCACCTTAGACCATAAATCATAAGACTTTTCACAACTAGAAGGCTGATTTTTTACTAGAGAGGCTGTATTAATACCAGTGCATAATATTTACAATACATATTTGCTGTTCTTTCTTTACCTGTCAGGTCAGCAGTGGACTATTGTAGATTAATACAGCAGTGGAAGTGAAAAGCAGAGGAGTCTCGAGATTCTCTATGGGTCAGTTATTGTGCACTCATTGCGTTACTCGCTAGCCCGTGAATGGAGAATTACATTTAACTGAAATTCTTCAGTGCATACATATCACTACTTCTAAAAACACTTGTGCACTATTATGTGTAGCGCCCCTCTAGGTAGCCAGGGGGAGCTAGTTATTTATTTTTTTTTAGAGAGGAAGGCTGAATAGCAGCTAGGGCATGAGTCAGCCTGGGTGTGAGTCAGCCAGGTCACCTTAGGTCAGGGCCAAGGGCTCTGCAGATCAGTTCCCTGATAACTCCCACTGCTCTAGAGACTTGAGAAGTTTCTAGAAGACAGTGGGTGGGGGTGAGGAGGGGCTGATCTTAATATTTCAGTTATCCTGACCAATCCCCAGGCAGGAGGCTTGGCATGGTGTTGGGACACCCCTAAGTATGATTGAGCCTGCTCAGCAGCAGGAGAGTTGGGGTGGAGTGAGAGGCTGGGATACAGGAGCCTGGGAGGAGGCCCAGTAAGAAGGGGCCTACCTCCGAACTGGATCTGAAAGGAGGATCTCTTAATCTCAGTAGTCCCCTGAGAGAGGACTACCTGTGGAAAGGAGGGAAGGAGCCAGCCAAGCAGAAGGCCTGAAGGCAGCCACTAACCCAACAAGCTTTCAGGAAAGGAAGAGTGAGTAGTACTTTATCCCCTGGGCTGCATAAGGGGAAAATGCATTCGGGTGGAAAACCTGACTAGCCCCATCTGGGACTTTTTGATTTAAAGGGACAGATTCTGGGTCCCCTTTGCCCGTGGATTCCCTCAGCCAGCTGGATGAGAAGTGGATTCATCTGGGGTGGTACACCAGGAGAGGCTGACGAGCCCTCCAAGAAGAAATCTTTGCTGTATAATAGAGACTTGCACATAGTAGCGAAGCAGTTGTCTTTAGTTGCAGTTTCTCTGGGCATCCCATACGTTCCTTGACCCCATCCAAGTTCAAATACCCCTAATAAAACCTAAAATACAAGCTCAAGGACTGTTTACTGTTTCCAAGATGCAAGTCTGAAAAAAAAATGTGTGTTGCTTGCCTGGCTGTGCAGGACTATGGGAGGGCCCAAAAACTCAGTGACTCCTAAAGGGGTAGTATGTATTTGAAAGAAAAGGTAGAAACTTCACAAAAGCATATCACTGTTTACTTCTACTTAGAACAGCATCAAATCTAAAGTTCAGTTACTAGGTAAAAGTTTATGTCTCCTATAATGACTTAAATGTTATGAATGCAGGACTATGTGAAAGTTTCATTTGGAATGTGCTATTAGAAGAACAGTATAGAGCCCCCACTCACAGTACAGAGCCCTCCTTACAAAGTTCAATGCCCCCCCCCCCCCCCCCCCACAGTACGAAGTGCACCCACCACCCACCTGCCAGGGAGAACCCTTCAACAGCAGAAGTGAAGCCAGTGGCTCATTTGAGCTGCTCCAAGAGGAACGGTGTCACTGCAAGCACAGAACTTCCTCTACTGGCTTCTGCTGTATGTTTCCAGTGACAGGTTGGAAAGGACAGGGATGCAAGAGGTGGTGGAACAGAGTTCTGCCGTGTTCCAACTGAAAAAAAGCTGTGTATGTATGTATATATCTGTTCAGTCGAATCCAACTCTCACTGATTCCATGGGCCAACTCTCTTGGCACCATGTCTGATACCAAGCATTTCCATAGAGTTTTCTTGGCCGTAGGTAGGTAGGTCGCCAGGTCTCCAACAGCTCAGCTTGGGACTGGCATGATGTGATAACACAAGTGCATAGCCCTGTTGTACGCACATACTGGAGACAATTTAAACAAAAACCATTAATCTACCAGCATGTATTTGAATGGTGCAAGGAAACCGGTGTACCTGGAGAAAACCTTTGCATGCACAGGGAGAACATGCAAACACCTTTAAGACTTGTTCGCTCTAGAACGGGGTGCAGGAGACACGCGTTAAATGCTGGTTTCCTGCACCGCATTCCAATCACACTGTCCTTGCTATCTGCAGAGCGTGTAAGTGCAAAGTTAATGACACTCCAAACACAGGTCGCAAATGCAGTGTGTCTGCCCACACTGGACTGCATACTACAGAAGTACCATGTGATCCGGTTGTAGCAGTGCATTTCCAAAGTAGTGCATGCACTATTTTTGCTGGGGTACAATGCTATTCAGCCCATACAAAATGAATGGGCTGAAATCACACTGCGCAGAACTGCATGTGAATCTCACAAGAACTGAACAGTGTTCCTGAGCAATTCATGTGCACTTCCTAGTGTGAATGGGCCCTCAAAGTATTAATTCACCCAAAATTAATATTTCACTTTTTGGTCGATGTAGTAAAGAAAACTTTAAGGGGGGATATGATCAACATGTATAAATACATCAGTGGTTCATATAGTGAACTCGGTATAGATCTATTCACCCTGAGGTCATTACAGAGGACACTCTTTACATCTGGAGGAAAAGAAATTTAATCTCCAAACACGGAAAGGTTTCTTCACAGTAAGAGCGGTGAAAATGTGGAATAGACTCCCTCAAGAGTTTGTTCTGGCCAGTTCAGTGTATTTCTTTAACAAAGTCTTGGATTCCTTCTTGGATACACAGAATATAACTGGATACTAACATTTATAGGTAAAGTTGATCCAGGGAATATCTGATTGCCTCTTGGGGGATGAGGAAGGAATTTTTTTCCTTGCAGGAGCAAATTGGATCATGCTTTGCTGTTTTTTTTGCCTTCCTCTAGATCAACTGTGGATATAGGATTAAAATTTTTTTTTTTTAACCACTTCCATACTGGGCACTTTTACCCCCTTCCTGCCCAGGCCAATGTTCAGGTTCTAGCGCTGTCACACTTTGAATGACAATTGCGCGGTCATGACAACACTGTACCCAAACTAAGATTTTATAATTTTCTTCCAACAACTAGAACTTTCTTTTGGTGGTATTTAATCACCACTGCGGTTTTTATTTTTTGCTAAATTAACAAAAAAGACCAAAAATTTTGAAAAAAAAACACGTTTTTCTTTGTTTCTGTTATAAAAGTTTGCAAATAAATAATTGTTCTTCATAAATTTAGGCCGAGATGTATTCTGCTACATGTCTTTGGTGAAAATAACCCAAATTAGGATGTATTATTTAGTCTGTAGGAAAGTTATAGAGTTCACAAACTATGGTATAGATCTGAAAATTGATCAATCCTGAAGTACTGACGGCCAATCTAATTTCTTGAGGTCCAAGAATGTCAGAACAGTACAGATCTCCCCCAAATAACCCCTTTTTGCAAAGTACACAGTCCGACATATTTCATAAGAGGAGTGGCGAGTTTTTGTAAGTTGGAATTTTTCTGTCATTTTTCGGAAAATTAAGAAATTAAAAAAATTATTTTCACTATTTTTTTTTTTACATACTGTCACCAGTGCAGTACATCATATAACTGGCATGGCGGTGATCAGGGACACTGACTGGTGACAGTACGAAAAAAAATATATATATATTTTTTTTATTATTTTTATGTTTTTTTCAAGATTTTTTTTTTTCATATTGCACTATGACCAAAGTAGTATAATGTTACTATAGTAACATTGTACTATGGGGAAATGATCAGTGATTTTTTTTCACACAATTTGCTTATAGCAAAGAATTACTTTGCTATAAGCAAGCATTTACCTGAATGAAATCGATTCATTCAGGGGTTTTTTTTTGTGATTAGCCGTGATTTGGCCACAGCTAATCACATGACACAGCTGGGCTGTGATTGGCCCAGCTTGTGCATGTGATCGCTGTGACCATTCACAGCTAGACACACTTGTATACAATGGATGGCATGAAAGGAAGCCATCCATTGTATACAACTGTCATGTGACTTGCTGTGATTGGTCACAGCAGGTCACATGGTACTGGCAACGGGGCCGGTACACAGATCTGTCATCGTCCGTGTCCGAGGTACATGGCCAGTGACAGATTGCGCTGCGGGCATGCGCACTGCACGTTCCAGAGAGGACGCCATATGGCGTCCACCCGGAGGGACGAGCTGTTCGCCCGTCCGCCATCTGGCTATAGGCCGGGCGGCAACAGGTTAACCTCTTGCCGACCGCGCATAGCCGAATGACGGCTTCACCGCGGCCGGCCAGTTCTGAGTGGACGTCATATGACGTCCTCCCAGAACGCGCTCTCCTGCGCGCCCCCAGGGGGCGCGCACACCCGAAGCGATCTCCGTGATCGCTGTGTCCTATGGACACAGCTGATCACGTGATGTGGTGAAAGGCCGATCCCAACGGCCTTTTACCACGTGATCAGCGGTGTCCAATGACACGCTGATCACAGGGAAATGCAAGCTTTGCCGGTTCTCGGCTGCACTTTCCTCACGCTGTCAGATCGTGAAAAAAGTACTGCCGAGAACCGGCTGTTGTCAGAGCGGGGATCGGCACCGATCATCGGTGCCCAGCAGTGACACCCGCAAGTTCC